CCCGCCCTGCCCCACTGTCCCCGGTGCTCGATCCTCCTCGCGTTGGCGCAGCCCGGCACCACACGGCCCTCTTTTCCTCACCGGCCGGACCGGGAGCTCCAGGATGTAGTATTTCGGCCCGGGCAGGACAGGAGGGTAGATTTCCCACGGGGAGCCCAGACCGCGCGTACAACAGAGCGCCGCGGCGGCGGAGGGCGGCGGAAGGGGGCAAAGCCGAGGGGGTTGCGACTCGTTCAGCGTGGTGGCGGGAGACGGAGCATGGAAAAAGATGGCCCTGCCAGTCTTCGTCGTGCACGTCATGTGCATGGGCTTTCTCCCGTAAGTGTTGCCCGCTATGCTCGTGCCTCTTACCCCCCCCCCCCACTTCTTTTCCTCCTTTCTACCTGTGGCTCTCGGACCATGAGTGGTGTTGTTGGTTCCCAGGAGGAGGTAGAAACGCTCCAGGTCTTTTTTTTCTCCTGTTTGATGAAAAGGCGAGACCAACAGCGTGGCGGCGGCGTGGAAACGAGATGAGCTCACAGCGTTCGCTCTGAAAAATATATTCACCCACCGAGAATTCCGGCGCGCGGGGCAAGGAGGGAGGGGGGCGGGGGGCATGCCACCGAATAAGAAAAGCGAGCAGCAGTCGCCTCACGGTAATCCTAAGTCCGCTAAACCGTGAAGATTGGCGCGTGCCAGTGACTTTTTTTCCTTTAATTCTCGGAATCTCTGCTTTTGCTGTGGTATGTCGGGTCATGACGCAGGCAGGAATACAAGACTTCGAAAAGTGTATGCACCGAAGACGAACTTCGTGAACTTTCGGTTAATGTTCATTGTTTTGAGGCTTACCCAGAAACTTTTTCATCCCCCCGTTTGTTAGCTACTACCGAAATCCGGCCAAAACTCACCAGAGTTCACCGTAACTTCATCGAAGAGTACTTTTCTTCGAAGAGTTCATATGGAGTTTAAATAATTAAATTCGCCGTATACGCGTATCGAGGCCATTTCCCGTGTTGTTGCGATCACGCACGGCCGCGGCGCGGCGGTCGGGGGTCGTTGTGCGAGCTTGCGCTAAGGCGTTAACTTTACCGGCGCACACTAGGCAGGTAATTGAAGGGATTAGCGCTGCTGTGGGCGTCGGGGAGCCGCGGCAGTGCGGTTAATTACAATATAAACGAGGAGGAGGCGGAGGAGGACGACACGACGGGGAGCAGGGCGGCGGCGGGAGGAGGAGCGGCACAAACAAGTCACTTTCTTACGTGTCGAGATGGAAAACATTCTTTATGATGAGCCGCGAGATGTCAGTTTGACGTCAACTTATTGTCCTCCCCGCGTCGCGCTTTGGTCCCAATCAACACAACACACAAACATGTCGCGGGTGCGGCGGGTCATGATATGAAAGGCTTTAATATCGTAATAACTGAGAATGAAAATGATGTCGTTTTGACGGCGAACTGGAGACGAGTTTCCCGGCGGTTAATAACACGTCAGTGTGACGTCATCCCGACCCTTCCCCTCACTTATTGAGATGCGAGGCGTGTTGGCGGCGCCCACCCGAGGGGCACCCGGAGCGCCGACGCCGTGCCCTATGGGGGCCGCTCTGTCCTGTCCTGCCTCCCCCGCGCTGTTGCGCCGCCCCCGAGGGATTCGCTGAGGGGGCGCGGCCTGGGCCGCCTGGGCCGGGGGGCAGAGCCTTGGGGCGGAATAGGGGGGGGGGAGGAATCTCCGAAGTATCATCAGGAGGACGGAATGTCATTCTGAGGGGCTGGCGCGGGGCCGGTCCGGGCACCCCGAGCGGAGCGGGGAGAAACTCGGCCAAACGACTGGCACGATTGGAACTTGAAGAGCGGGAAAGGGGTGGCAGAAAGGGCTGTGGGGACGCGCGGGGGCCAACGGGCGACGGGGAGGCCAG